AGAGAGAGCAAAATGGAAATTAGAAAAGGAAAATGAGGTCAAAAAATACAAAGAGGGCTATGAGAATCTTGTTGCTCAAATAAAGAGTGATTTTCAATTAATTAAAGAAGAAAAAAAAATAATTGAAGAGAAAGAAGAGGAGATAGAAGAAAAAGAACGAGATTTATTTTTGCGAGAGGGGGAAGTTAATGCCATAGAAAACGCTTTGAAAAATGTCTTGGGAATTAAAGTAAAAGGCGATTTCAAAGAAAAATTAGCAGCAATTCAGCAGGAGTTAGAAAAATGAAAAAAACATACATGCTCCGGCGGGGAAAACAACGAGGATATTAAAGAAAAATTGGCTGCTCGGGATAAGGAGGTTGAAAAAATGCAGCAGCAAAAGGCAGATTTAGAAACAAAATTGACCGAAAAAAATGCTGAAATTACTGACTTGACCGAAAAAATAACGGCCAAAGAGGCTGAATTTACCCAAAAAAGCGAAGAATTGAATGAAATTAGGGCAGCGAAAAATGATGTGGAAAAGACCTACAACGAGACCAAGAGAGAAAAAACTGCTGCTGAAAAGGAACACGAAGCAGTTAAGGACGAACTAACCCGCGAACAAGACGCTCATAAGGACACCCAGAATGCCCTAGCCGCTGAAAAGAACGCCCATGCTCTTACTGCTGCGACTAAAAATAAAACGGAAAAAGAATTAAATGATGACTTAGAAAAAATGAGCGAACAATTAAGCAAAGAGCAAAAGAAAACCCAAAGCCTTCAAACCAAATGCCACGAATTACGACAAGAAAAATCAACCCTACAAGATAATTTTAACCAGCAAGAGCGGGAAAATGAAATATTAATCCGCCTAAACACTGATTTACACCACCAATTAGAAGCAGCCCTAAAAAATTATCAGCAAACTAAAAATGAACTCCAAACCAAGCAAACCGCTAACCAACAATTAAGCCAGGATGTAGAAAAATTACAAGCCGACGTCAATAATTATCTTACTCAAATTGCGGAATTAGCCCGACAAAAAGAGGAATTATCCTCGGCACAAGAGCAAAAAGAATGAGAATTAAACAATTTGCGGACCCAAAACCAAGAATTATTTAATCAAAAACGGCAATCTGAAACATTAAAAAATAATACTTTGCGAAGCCTGGCTGATCTACAAAATGAAAATCAACAATTTCGCCAAACTATCGACCAAAAAACGACCGAATGCGACACTATTCAACAGGAGCGGGATAAAGAAATAAGAAAAACGAATTTACTGAAAAAAGCCACCCAATCACTTCGGAATAAATTGAGCCAACAAACTAATAATTTAACCGGCCTGCTGTCAGTAGCCAACAATACTATAAGAACCTATGAAAAATATTTGAAAGAAGAATTAAAAATAAGCGATTTAAATAATCTACCATCAGTGCCGGCTCCTTTGGCAACTTTGATTAATTTTTTTAATAATCCTCCGAACTGTTTAAATCCCCAACATAGTGATTACGATAGTCTAAAAAATCGTCTGCGGCAAGCCGAAACCGAGTGCGATCAATTAGCAACCGAGAACCAGAAACTTAAAAACCAAAACAATCTGACCAGAAACGATAACCTTAAAGACAAATCCGCCTCGCAACCAACCGAAAATAAATCTTCCGCTGATTCTCAACTAGTAAATGAATTACGGAACCAGATAACGGCCTTGAACCGAAAAATTAGCCAAAGCGGGGCAACCAATGAAAAGGAATTATTGAATCGAATCAGTTCCGATTTGTCCTTAGATTTGAGCCCGCCCATCAATTATGACCGAGTAATTACGGCTATTCAACAATTAATTAAAAATAAGTCTGCTGAAAGTCATAATCAAGAACTTGCGTCCGGCTCAAACGAGACTAATAAAAATTTAATTCCTTGGTGATTTTGGCTGTTTTTGCTAATTTTAAATGCTGCTATTTTAACTTTTTGGCTGGTGAAAGTTAAGACAACAAAAATTAAAAAAAGAATTAGGAACTAGGCAAACAAAAAGATAAGGCAATAAATACTGCCAACAATACCATATAAATATTACGAACAAAATTGGTTAACTTAGTAAAATGGGTGGCTTTGTAAATATCTTCTTTGCGTTCCTGAGTTGGGGAAAAACTATCTTCTTCACCAAAAAAAAGGGAAAGAGTTATAATTACTGTTCCCAGCATTCAGAGAAATATTTTTAATATTAACATAATATAATTTTAACAAAAAAAATAAATGACAAAACAACTCTCGAATAAAAAATCTAATTTTAGTGGTCGGGATTGAAAAATAATGAAATATCCCCCCTTAAAAAGCCCCCCTCGTCCTAATATTGATGGTTGCTAATACATTAGAGTATCATATCGCAAGACACTTTAATAAGTGCAAGTTTATCCTCCGAACACACTAATGGTGGAGATGAGGGGATTGAACCCCTGTCCTTAGACGGTTAGTAATTACCTCTACAACTTAGTTTATTATTGAATTTCCCTATCAAATACTAATAAACGAATATTTTTTAATAGGTAGGGTATTTTTATATGTAAGAGAGTGACAATTAACAAGTATAATAACCAAACTTTAATAATTGACCCAAATTTTATAGCGAGCCGAACGAATTGGGCGAACGACAAGAACTAGTTGAGAAAAATTATATTCTCGCGTAGTTGTATCCTGGGTTGCCATTAAACAATCCAACAGGAATTTCATTAGTTTCTTCGTCTTGATTTTTTCAAAACCGGATTATTGCCATAATTACCGACCTCAACCTAAGTCAAAACTCGCATCCCCAAGAATATTTTTTCATCTATCATCTCTATATAATAATTTTATAATAGTTGAAATCGCCAGAGAGGTTCGCAATGAGTATAGTAAAAAAAATTTATCCTAAACTAGCCAAGAATACTTCCACTTCTATAAGTGGCGGGTAGTTCACTCTAAATCCTCTCTATCTCAATGAAAAAAATCACCCCAACAAAAATAATTTATTCACCAAAAAAAAGTCTGGGACAAAATTTCTTATTTGACAAAAATTATCTTCATAAAATAGTTGCCTGCTGTTCCACCAACTCTAAAACAATAATAATTGAAATTGGCAGTGGTTATGGCAGTTTGACCAATCTGCTGGCCGAAACCGATTGTCAAAAAGTGATAAGTATCGAAAAAGATTTTCAATTATTTCAGTGATTAGTAGCCAACAATAAGAATAAAAAAATCCTTTATCTTCACCAGGACGCTTTAAAGATTAATTGACCTGAGCTTTGTTCTCAATATAAAAATGGTTCTTTGATAATAGTTGGCAATTTGCCTTATTATATTACTAATTCTTTGATAGTTAATTTATTGTTAAATTACAAATTATTTAAATCCTTAATTTTTTTGGTCCAAAAAGAAGTCGGGCAAAAATGAGTAGCCAGTCCGTCTAAATATTCCTCTGAGCATTCGGCTTTATCAATTTTTATTAATTATCTGACGAAAACGAAAATTATTGGAAAAATTCCGGCTCGTGCTTTTACTCCTGCTCCATCCGTAGATGGGGTGTTGGTATCAATTGAACCTTACCAAGATGTTGATGTCTCAAAAGAACAGTTAATTTCTTTTTTGCGTTTTCTGAAAAATTGTTTTCGTTTTCGTCGCAAAACTCTCTTAAATAATCTTTTAAGTTGAGCGGGTAATTGGGAAAAAGAATGAAAAAAATACTGGATAAAAAAAGATTATTCCGAGAAAGTTCGCCCTCAAAATCTAACCCCTTTTGAATGTTGACAATTATTTCTTTTTTGGCAAAGTCTTACTTAATTTTTTTGAAAATAGCAATTTCCTCGTTTTGCTACTTATTTTTACTTTCCTTTCTTTTTTGTCTGACTAAATTGTAAGTAAAAAAAGGACTAAGTTGCCGATTACTATCCCTATTAATGAAAAAAAATATTTAATATGACAAAAGTCTCAAAAAGAAAAAAAATCTTAAAAATAATTCTGGTAGGTAGCCTGGTTGTGGCTCTGGGTGGAGGAATTTTTTGGTTAGGAAAAAAAATGGGTGCCAAAAATAAAGCCAGCCAAACCAAAGTTGACCAACAAAGAGTTAAATTAGAAAAAGAATTGCAAAAATTAAACGAGCAATTACAAAACGAAAATGACCCCGCCAAAAAACAAGAATTAGAGCAAAAAACCAAAGCAATAGAACAACAAATCCAAAATCTAGGCCATAATTCTCCCAACCCGCCGATTAATCCAGGTGGCAACGGACAGCAACCACCAATTAATAATAATGAAACCCACCGGCAAATTACTGTCAAATACAATACCGAAGTAGGTGGTAAGCATGAATATATTGATATTAATGACAACAAAAAGAGAGTTTTAATTGATACTAAAAATAAAATTTTCTCCTCTGCTAGTAATTTAACTATCAAAGATAATCAATATAATTTTTCTTTTTACGAGGAGGATGCTACGGAAAAAAGAGGAAATGGTTTCATTTTTGACGAGAATAATGATACATTTCAATTAATACCTATAACTACGGCTCCCTCGCCCTCGAAAAATCCGAGTAATGACCCCAACTCTGTCCGAATAGAGGAGGAGGAAATTAAAATTGCATTTTGTTTGACAATGAAGAATACATAAACTTTGACAATTTTTTGATACCGGGCGATTGGAGTAATCCAATACGTGTATATATTTCCAAAAATAATCCTGTTTGGAGCGGGAGAAACTGGGACCAAACTGATTGACGAAAAACTCCTAATTTTAAAATTTCTTTCTTACCTAAAGATGCTTCTAAATATAAAGATTGAAGAGGAACTGCTGCTAGGGCTCAGGAGTTTTATTTTGACGAAAATAACCAAAAATTTACTTTAACTCCTTTGGGAAATTGACCGGACGATAATTCTGAACCAGAGTCAACTCCACCACCGAGCAGCCAAACGCCGCCTCCTTCCCAAAGCAAAAAGAAAATAGTTTTGAAAATGAAATATATGTTTAATTCTGGTTTTGATCACTATGTGTTTGGTGGAGAAGGAAGAAATGGAAGAACGGTTTTTATTAGCCAAAAAAACCCCAGCGTTAATAAGATATTAAAAAAAAATTTCGCCGAGTATGAAATTAGTTTTGAATTAGATCCAGTAGAAGAAAATTATTTTGAAACTACCAAAATTATGTTTTTTGAGGAAAATGATAGCGTGGAAGTGGTTGAAGTGTAAAACAACCAGTCAATATTATTAATAAATTATGGTAGAAGCCTAAGCATGACTAAACGAAAAATATCCCAATAAATTAACTAGAAAAGCAGTTGAGGAATTATCCATAAGTCCCTACATAGCAGACGACCAAAATAAAAATTCTTTTAAAATAAAATTGGCTGGTTCCCTAATCATAAGCGATTTTGTCATTCTAAAAAAATTGTATCTTTACGATATAAGCTTGCTGAATTAATCATTAATAACTGCCCCGAAATTGAGTTGGTTAACTGTGCCGCCAACTCACTTACTGACGTGGGTTTTTTGACTACCCTCGACCCCGAAAAATTGACCAATCTTTACTTGGAGGATAATAATATTTCGGAGCAAGATTTAAGTTGTTTTGCAAAATTTGTCAATTTAACTACGCTTTTGGTTGGCAATTCGGATAAAAACAAAATCAAACAAGGCATTTATAATCGATTTACTGGCAACCTAGAATGTTTAAAAAATTTAAGCAAGTTAGAAAGATTAAGTATTAAAAATACTGATATCGACCGGGGATTAGAATTTTTGCCTCGCTCAGTCCAAGAATTTCATTGTTCGGCCGACCAAAGAAAGGAAAGCGGAGTGAAAAAAATTGCGGAGGAATTACAACCTTTTCTCATCAGTAGTTTTCACGGGACTTATGACTTTAAAAGTTGAAGCAAAAAGGATGAAACGCGGTTTTCACCAGGTCAAGAGATGGTTTTTTATTATTCAGAGAAGAACAAAGGAAAAGAACCACAATAATTTCAACAAATAGAAGTTAATTCTTACCAGAAATAAAATGAGAGGGTTTCTACCTATTTTACATTTATTTGAAAATATTATGATCTATTTTCGGCCTTACGGCAAATATTTGTATTTATTTTTTCTTTTTGCTTACTCACCTGCTAATAATCAAAAATGAACTACCCCACCTACCTCTTGCGAGTTTGAGGTGGGAGTTTCGTAGAGGTTAATCATCTTTATAATTGATAATTAACATGCCCGAGGCTATACTGGCTCTGCCAGCAAAGTTCCTAGCCCGTTGAAAGTCCCAATTTAACTTGGGCTTTTCACAAAATATTTCTAGCAGCATTGACATCTCTATCCAACTCATTATCACAACGAGAACACTCAAATATCTCCTCATCTTTTAATTTCTCATTAATTTCTCCACATTTGCTACACCTCTTGCTGGTATTATGAGGATTAACAAACACTATCCACTTACCAGTTTCCTTCACTTTGTAAGTGGCAAATTGAGTTTGTTTAGTTCAACAAGCTTTCATCATCCCATCCCTAGTTCATTTACCTACTTTTGTATTTTCTTTACTAATCATTTCTTTTGGTTTCAACTCCTCATAAGCCAATAAATCATTCTTATTCACTAATTTCCTTGAAATCTTGTGGCAAATATCATTCATCCGATTACTGGCTTTCTCACCTAATTTTTTCATTTTATTCTTTGCTTTCTTTCAATTATTACTCCCTTTAATTTTCTTGCTTAAATCTTGTTGGAGTTCAATGTATTTCTCCTCCACTTTTTCTCAATATTTAGGATTTTTGAACTTCCAACCTTCACTATTAGCAAATAGTTTTCTTTCTCCTCTATCTACTCCGTTCATCCGTTTAATTGCTGATTTAGAAATTTGTGGAGGGATTTCAATGTCAGAGGTTAGATTAATTTTCCACTGTTCCTTTTTCCAAGAGATAGTTATAATAGTAGGCTTGCCTTTTAGAGGGTTAGTTAACTCAAAAGGAATAATTATTTGGGGCTGTCTCTTGCTTTTATAATTTCCTTGGGATAAGAATATTTGGTTATCCTTGATTTGATATCCTTCTTGGTGAATTGAAAAACTGTCATATCACCGATTAGGGGATTTTTCACGAGGATATTTTGCCTTAATATTAATACTTTTGTGTTCCTTGTATTTTTTTCAAGCATCAAGCAATCGGTTCTTAATTACTTCTTGGAGAGTTCAAGCGGGGAGTTTGTTTAGTCATTGGTAGGATTTCTTTTTCTTTAATTTAACTAAATCCTTTTGTTGTTCCTCTGATGTTGGTTGAGGTTGGTTTTTCTTATCAGCCTTTATTCTTTTTCTTAAAAAGTAGTTATAGACTTCATTACAACCCTTCGAAATGAATTGGAGTTGCTGTTTAGCTTCAGAACTAGTTTTTAAGTTTCCTTGATAAGTTTTAGTGAGAATATTTTCTTTTGGACCCTTCATAATATTTAAATATTCAGGTTAGTTAGCCGAGAAGGGTCTAATCAACTGACTAACTAATCTCAATACTTAAAACTATATTATAATTTTAGCCAATTCATCCCCGACTTAACAAGTTTGAAGGTCGGGCATTCTTGGCTAGGGTTTGGTAAAAAGAAAACCGGAATTATGACTAGCAAACAAATAAGAACGCTTTTTCCTCAATAGTTTTTATTTTCTGGTGATATTAAAAAATGGCGCCTAGTGCAGGAATCGAACCTACGACCAACCGGTTAACAGCCGGACGCTCTACCGCTGAGCTAACTAGGCTTTTGAAATTATTGATTGATTTATTTCAATTTAGTGTTAGAAAATCAGTTTGGATAATATTTTCTGCTTCGGTGGCTTGGGATTCAATATCAAAGGCTAATATTTTTTTGCCTCTTCGATAAAAATACCGGTGTGTTTTTTGGCTATTAAAGAGGTGGTGTAAAATTGGTCGAAATTATTTTTTTTGTTTATCGTTGTCATAATATTTTACACCAAAGCAAAAATTACTCGCAAATTATTATCACCCAACCGATAATTTAATTTGGTAATTCGGCTATAACCACCTGCACGGTCTTTGTATCTTTCTTTTAAATCCGAAAATAATTTATCCAACATTTTTTTTCCTTGTCGATCAACGTTTTTTTTTTTGTTGACCAGGTGTTTTAGGGCCAAACGACGGGCGTGCAAATTATCCTGTTTAGCGTATCCAATAAGTTTTGCCAATAATTTGGTTAGGCTGCGAGCCATTGGTAAACTTGTTTCCACTTTTTCGTATAAAATGGCGTCTGCCACCAAATTATTAAGGACATGACTTCGTCAAGTAGTAGTTTTACCAGGTTTATTGATATAGGACATGATTATTTTTTTTATTATATTTTTGTCTCGGCTGTCGGTTCCAGAATTAATTTTTCTCCTTTTTTGCTATTGTCATTAACTAATTGGAAAATACGACCAAAAGCGTCTTGGGATATTGCCAAAACTTCTTGAAGTGCTCCTTTTGGTTCAACCACACCATTAGTGGTAATCGTAAGCATTAATTCTTCTTCGGTTTTTTCTCTGCCAATTACTACTGATTTTATTTGAAAACTTACTCCATCACCTTTGACGGGAGCATAATCAGTAGAAAAAGCAATAACATTTTCTTCATCTGCCAAATAATTTTTTTCTTGTTCTTCTTCCTCATGATAACCTCAATTTTCCTGAAAATATAATTTTACTTCCAATTTAGGATTTTTTCCTTCATCGGTTGCTGCTGCCAGAGTAGCCAAATGAAGATTAGGATTTTTAATTTTTATCTCTTTGTCTTTTTGAAAATCGGCAGCCGTAATTTTTTTTTCCTTTTTTTCTTTGTTCTCAACATTCAGTTCTAGCCAAAAAACTCCTTCTTTTTTCTTGGCTTCTACCCTGACTTCTTTCAAATTCATAATAAGGAAAGAGGTAGCCACTGTATCCACCACTCCCGGTAAAATGCTCATTTCGCTTTCCACCACTCCCTCTCTATGGCTAATTCGAGCTCCCAAAGGAGCTATGCTACTAGTATATTTCAGAAGAAATTGTCGAAAATAATTACCAAGGACTATCCCTATACCTTCTGGCAGGTGATGAAAGACAAAAGAAGAAGTGTGAGGCTTATTTTTCTGAACTTTTTCTTCGATTTTTAGATTATTGAGCAATGTGGTCATATATAATTTTATTTTCGGGGAGCACGGCGAGGTCGACAACCACCATGACGGATAGGAGTTCGGTCGATTAAGGCTTCAACATCTAAGGATTTTTCTTCCAATATTCTCCTTATTACCGTATCGCGACTGCTTCCAAGTTTCTTAACTTTTACTGTAACCACGTGAATTCCAAATTCGTTAGCTTTTCTAATTATCGCCTCCAAAGCTTTTTCAGCCATAAAAGGAGTAGCTTTTTTAGTGCCGGTAACTTTTTTATTATTGCCGAGGTCAACACTGCCTGCACTAACCGTAGCCAAAGTATCGCCGTTTTCTTTGCTTAAACCAAGAATAGTATTGTTAAAACTAAATTTGCCGTGAATAATTCCCCTTCCTTCGGAGACTTTTTTAATTTTTTTGGGTTTAGTGGTTTTAGTTTTGATTTTAGAAACTTTTTTTTCTACCGCCATATATTATTAATATTTATTATTATAGTTAATTCTTATCAAACAAGATATTGCTATTATTCATAAGGATAAATTAAGGACAAAGTTAATATATAAATAATTTTAAAAATAAGCCGTTAAGCAGTTTTTTAGTCTTAAAAGAACAAAATATTCCATCTATTTTTCTTATCCTTAAAATGTCCCTGTATATTTTTCTTATTAATTGGTGCCCACAATGGGAGTCGAACCCATACTGGACGGGCCTTGAATCCGCGGCGTCTACCAATTGCGCGATGTGGGCCAATTAGAGAACCCGATTTTGGTAGCGGGGGGAGGATTTGAACCTCCGATCTTTGGATTATGAGCCCAACGAGTTAGACCAACTACTCTACCCCGCGATTTATTGTCTTAAATTTTTGTTGAGCGAGAACGCTTAATTTTCAAATTCACATTTACAAGTGTATCATTAATTTTAAAAAACACTTATCTATAAATCTTATTTTAGCAAATTAATAATTATTCATTTCATTCCAAACTATAAAAAAAAAGTATTTTTATTGCTAGATATTAGATAAAAATAATAATATGGAAGTAGAAATGTATGTAGAAATACCCAAAGGTAGTTCCAATAAGTATGAGTATAATCCAATCACCAAAAAATTAGCATTAGATAGAGTTTTGTCAGTAGCCATGTATTATCCAGAAAAATATGGTCTTATCTTTGGAACTTTGGCACCAGACGGAGATGAATTGGATGTTATTTGTTTAACTGAGAGAACTGGTGGGGCAGGAGAATATATTAAGGTGCGAATTATTGGGGTTTTAAGAATGATTGATAACGGCGAACAAGACGACAAATTGTTGGCAGTTGACATTAATGAGCCTGAACTAAAGCATATTCGGAGATTAGAGGATATTCCTGAATTACGAAAAAAAAAAATTAAACATTTTTTTTCTCATTATAAAGATTTAGAAAATAAAAAAGTACAAGTCGGAGAATTTGAAGATCAAGAGCAAGCCGAAAAATTATTAAAACAGTGTCAAGAATGAAAAGAAAATAAATAGCAAAATAACATGGAAATTTCAACAATAATTTTAATCTTTTTAACAATAGCATGGTTCTGCTATCTAGCCTATTTTATAGTAGCATGAATTAAATATAAAAAAGTGCAAAACCAGATAATTAGACATTTTATAAATGGTAGGCAAATTGGCGAGACTCATAAATTTTCTGAATGAGAAAAGTGTGAGGTTTGTTTACATTGTTTTAAAGGAAAAAAATAAATCAACAAATATGTCAGAAAATAATAAAATTAAAAAGTTTAAATACCCAATTGGGAAATGTGAGGCTTTACAATGCTATTTAAAAAAAGCAGATAAAGAGGATAAAGAACTTGTAGGCTATAGTTTTCATAATATCCAAATGGTAGACACAGAAAAAAATACTGTTAGGCCAACCGGAGAAAGAGAAAAGATACCTACTTGTTTAAAATGTTATCTTTCTGAAAAACCGATGATGGAAAATAGAATGGCCGAGGAAAAGATAAGAAATCCCGGCATTATCCCTTATAAATGATTTTGATTTTATAATGAGGAAGATGAAAAAAAATACCCTGATAACTGGTGGAAAATGTATGAAAAACATTTAGCCAAAAGGGAAATATGAGCCAAGTATAAGGATAAAGATTGTAATACAATCAAGAAAGTTCCTGAATACCAAGCCTGACAAAAGAAGTATAAGGATTATTTAAGTTGGGATGAAAAACCACTAACCATAAGAAAATATGAATAACCAAATAACACCAAATAATGACCCGTGATGGTCTGACTTCAAACAAGCCCAAACCAAAGAATATAAATGCCTAGAATGTGGCAAAGTGCTAATCTCAAATCACACACTAGACCTAGATTTTTATTGAATAGAAAAAGTGGGAATGTATTGTGAAAAGGATTACCAAAAAGGACTAAAAGCAAATAATCCAATAATTACAGCCGATTATAACCGCTACCATAATTGGGATAGGATGATAAGGAATTATAAAAAGGAAATAAAAAAAAGCAGAATATTATTTAAAAGAAAAGAAGAGAACCACGACTCATTCTCCGAAGGTTTTCCAATTCCTAAGTCTCAAACTGGCAATGAATTTTTTATTAAAGAACGAAAAGAATTAAGAAAAGCCCACTGTATCTTTTGTGATAAATATTTCCCAATTTTAAGTAGGGTATGTATCACGGATTGATTGGAAAGTAAAATGGAAGTCAAGCCCGAAACTGTGGGTCTGGTTTGTTTAGAATGCATAGAAAAAGAAATATGAATAACCAAATAATCAACAACTTAAAAAAAGATATAATTGATATTAAAATTTGAACTTGTGAAGCATCAGAGTATAAACAAAAAGAACTTGAATTCGAATATTTAACCAAAGGTTCTTTATTAGAAAAATAGTTTAAAAATGGTGGCCAAAGAAAAAACCAATTCTGATATACTGCTGATGAAAAAGAAATTGATGAACTAGCCAAAAAAGACCCAATGGAAATCTTTGAGTTTTTGGCTCCCAAGCATTTAGAGAAGAATCAAGGCTTTGGTAAAGTTATAGGAAAAGAACCCAAGCAATTCCAAACTCCTTGCTATCTCTGTAATCAAAAAACTTTAACTACTGTAGGCTGAAGTAAAAAAGGTTATCCGGATAATTTAGAAAGGTTCTATTGCCGTTTATGCCGAACTAATTTTGTTGATTGGTTTGATATCCCGGATGACCCAATTGAACTTCAATTAGAAATGAGAGGCTACTATCTTATTTTTGCTGGAAAAGAACTAGAAAAAGATTTAAAAAGGCAAGATGAAATAGAAAAGGAGATAGCGGAAATGAGAAAAAGGACCAATGAAAGACGACAATTTATTATCAAAAGTAAAGAATTTATAGAAAAGCATGGCGGAAAATAATAATATTCATAAGGAATTAGAAATAATGAGTCGATTGAGAACAATCCCCACTAGACTTTTAATAGAAGAATTGAATGCCAGGCAAGAATTGAATATAATAGAGATTTGGATTAATGGGCATAATCATCGTTTAGAATTTAAAACAAAGGAGTGTGAAAGCCCTTGTTCTCACTGTAGTTATATTTTAAAAAATAGGTAAGGTAATGACAGAAAATAAAATAACAACCCTATACGAACATAAAAAATCCAAAAGAATGAGTGAAGAATTAAGAAAATATTTTGAAGAGTATTTTTGAGAAAATGATGGCGAAAAGGTTTGGTTTTTTCTCAATCCAAAAAATATACAGCGTTCTTATTATCAACATGGAGAAGAAATAGCTAAGATTGCCGAGCAAGTATTACAAGCAAGGCACGAGGGTAAAAGGCCTCCTGAATGAATTATTGAAAAACGAAAAAGAGAACTAGAAAAAAAATACGGATTTGATATTGAAAATTGTTGTGAGATTAGAGAAACAATGGTTAAAAAAGATGATTTTATGATTATGAATTATGCCGAATGGAGATGCTGAATAATTCAATCCAAGAGCTTTGAGGGATGTTCTAAATGTTATAAGTTTATTTTGCTAATGAACCAAAAGTATAGAGAAACATGGGACGAAGTGGAACAAAAATATCAGCAAATCAAAAGAGACGAAAAGTTAGCTTATGGAATTAAAGAATAAAAATATTGTCAGTTTATACGACCACTTCAAAAACACTCCCAAAAAACTAAAAATAATCTGTGATTGGGATGAGGTAATCCAAGCTTGCGAGCCTTATGCTTTATGGTTGGCAAATAAAAACCAACCACAGCCACTTCATAATCAAAAGGCTGGTTTTAAAACCTTTTCAGAATATTTTGAATATTTTTGAGAGTGAAGTTTTTTACAAATCAACTATTCTTCTTATGGTTCTAATTTGAAGTATGATGGCTTTTTTAAACCAACTGAACACAATCTTACTCAAAAAGATATTTTAGAAGACCAACAAATATACAAAAACTCCCCCCACTTTTACCAAGAAGCCCCATTTTTAACCATAGCCGAGGATTTATTGAGACTGATAAAAGAAGATAAAGTAGAAAAATTAATCTTTTTAAGTGCTTATGATAAAAGAAAATTTCCTGATGGGGATGATAGAAAATATTCAATATTTTATAGCACTTTTGGTTGGTGAAAAAAGATGAAAAAGCCAGAGCCTACAAATGCTGAAATTGAATTAATCCCTTTTGAAAGTGAAACCCAAGGTCAAACCAAAGCCGACTGAATCAAACAAAATGCCTCTGATTTTGATATTTTTATAGATGATAATCCGAATATTTGTAAAGATGTAGCAAAAGTTACAGAAGAGTTAATGGATCAAATAATTTCAGACTCTGTTTTAGCAAATGAAAGTAAAGATTCAATAATAGCAAAATTAGAAAAACAACACTTAAAGTTAATCACTATTGCCCCTTACTATCCAGCCATAGAACATCACCCAGAAGTAGTATTAGTTAAAAATGAGGTGAGTAGTTTGAAGAAGGAGGAATTTAAATAATTATGAATAAGGGGTTAGTTATTAACGATAAATTTCTTGCTGATAAAGAATGGTGAATGGAAGAAACGGACAAGAGATATATTTTGTGTGTCAAATATAATGGTAAGATTTACCGGAGTGGTAGGGAAAAAGAACACGTAAATGCTGTCAAAAGTCTCGATAGTAAATTGTTGAAAGAGTCAGTAGCAGCAACTCTTATTATGCAAATAAGAATACAAATTAACGAGGATAAGTTAGCAGAATTAGAAAAACAAAGATTTTAGCGAAAAAAAAGAAAAAGAAAAAATACCCCCCATCCCCTTAAAATATAGATATATATAATTTTGATGAACTACTAAGATTTTTCTTTTTCTAAATTAATTTTTCAGTGAGAGGTCAAATTGATGGGGTAACGCCCCTCAGTGTTTCGATTCTGGGCGGTTATCAACTGACCCCTCGCTCAAGAGTTAATTCTGGGGAATTTATTCCTCAAGGGGTGTAATCATCTTGCAGCCTTTATCGCGGTAGATTAGGTTCTAAATGCAAATATGATTAACCCCCTTCAAGAGTAAATTTCCTGAAAACGATCATTAATGCTTGAGCGGGGGTAGTTTTGGTTGGTAGATAGTGCTTGGATGTTTGTTCATAATAAAAAGAAGTTCTGCCATCCTCCCACTTTCTTCTACCCTACCCCCGCTGAAAAATTAATTCTTACTGTAGAAACTAGAAAGGGGTTTTTCGCAAAAAAATGCCACAAATATCCCCTCTTTGTTTTTTTTAGCAACAATCCAACGGCAAGTTTTCGATAAGAATTTGTTAATGAATTTTTATTTTTTTGGCATCAATTTGTACTTGTAATCATACCTTTAAAAATTGAAAATAACAAGAAACTATTAGCAAAACAGGCAAAAATAATTCCCTTTACCCCTCGTTTTTTTATTGTTTCTCGTATTTAAAAAACAACCTTTTATATTTGTTTAGCAACGTAGTCAAGGAATTACTCATAATAACACGTGCTTTACAACACCCAACCCCAATCAGGCTGAGTAATTCCTTACAAAACCTGACCTGAGTTGGAGTTGTGTCACCCAATTGTGACATGCAAAGTTGTGTTACCTCCTTGCAAGGTGCTGTAAAACACGATTATTACTTTGTTAATTTAAACTACTAAACTAATACAATTTTTTAACTCTTATTATTAATAATATTTATACACAAAAGGCATGGAAAATAAACCTAATTTGGAGAAAAAAAGACAAGAATACCGGGAATGATTAGCCAAAAATCCCCCTATTTTTGATGAAAGTACGGGTCATGAAATGAAAGAATGTGAAGGATGTTATTGTCAAATGATGGCTGATTGTCCTTACGACTTTTGTTTTGACTGTTCAGACTGCGATAAAATGCAGTGTGGTGAAAACTTCGATCCTGACGCTGGTAATTGTTGTGCTTGTTTTGGTAAAAAAAGTGGCGATCCTAATCTAAAAAGAAAACCATTAACTTTTACTCAAAAACAAAGATTACACTTTGAACAGATTAAAAGACAAATGGAGGACTTAATTGAGGAAATTAAAGATAAAGAGGATATCGATGGTATGCGAACGGCTAAAGATATTGAAGATATGAAAAGGTGAAGTGAGCAGAAAAGGCAAAGGGTGCTTAAAAATCTGACTGAGGAGGAACTTTTGATGGAAGTGAAGAGGAGGAATAAGGTTAAAATATAACTTGTATGACCAAAAGTAACAAAGTTACAATTAAATACAACGGCAAAGATTATGAAATAGAAAAGAAAACCGATGAACAAAAAGCCAAACCTAAAGGTGATGATAACGGGACAGAAATAACAATCAAAAATTATAAAGAAAGTTTCTGAAATCACACAGCAGAAATAAATGGTGAAACTATCTCAGTAAAATGAGGAATAGCCAAGAAAATTACTTATATTGGCGGTCCTATTTTAGTAGTTATGATATTCTTGGGCGTCTGATGATTTGCTTCCCGCAAAACTGAAGAAACTGAAGAGGAAGATGATAAATCCTAGTTTTGGCTAGGATATTGAACTGCCGGACCGAACAATTTTCTATCTTTCGACATTTAGAATGTACTCATATATCTTGGTCTGGCACTTGAATATGGCCGGAGAAAACTTCATAAGAACCTCATCTCCACCATTAGATTAAAAAATAATTGATGGAAGACATAATCAAACAAGAGCGAGAGGCATGTCAGTGAAGCCAATGAATAATAGAAAATAGTGCTAGCGTAATAGATAAAGAAATCAGCAATAATAAAAAAAGTCCAACCATCACTGATTTGCTGAAAGAAAAACCTCTCTTTTTCCTTTTAGAAGCAATTAAGCAACTGGATAAACAATGATGAATAAGTTGATTTATATTTGAGGATTTGAAAGAGGAAATAAAAATTGGCTATAAGAAATTAGATTCTGAGCAACAAAAATTATTCCGATTAAAACTAGAAAATTTTGAGGAGGAAAAAGTAATAAGTCTGGCTCAAAGTTTATAATCGCCCAACCGAGCGTGCGAGAATGTGTACGCTAATAATAATGAACTAAACTCTTATGAATAATCAGGAATTAATTAAGCAACTGGAAAAGGAAAAAGCAATGCTGAGTAAAGCACTTGACTTTCAAAAAAGAATGAGGGAAAATTTTCCCCAAGAAAAAATAGATAAATTGCCTTTGACAGAAAAATTAAAGTTGGCAAATATGGAAATTGGCATTGAACAAGATATTAAAGGAATAGAAGACATGATTAAACAATTAGAAAATTCAATCAACGATAAAATATAAAAAAATGGATAAAAATTAAAATGGAAGAAAAATACCAAAATCAGCCCTGTGCTTTAGGCAGAACCGAATACTCATGAAGTTCGTTAGTATATGATAGAACCCAAACTCCTAACCAATTAAGTTATTATGGAGTAACTCGTTGCCAATACTGCTTCCTAGAAAAAGTGGCCGAAGTTCAATACCAACTGAAGCAGGCTACTTATCAACAAGGACAAACTTGTCAATTATGTGATTATGTGAGCCAGGAAAATGATTGATTTTATCATTTGGTTGACCGAGCCAATCAAGACAGTTGAATTATTTGTGCTAACTGTGCCAAAAATTATAAGTAAAATTGCTAATATATGACTTGAAAAGCAGCAGAAAAGGAACTTAATAAAGCATTTCTTCCGAACATAACCTTTTATCAGAAAATTAAAAGAAAAAACGAAATAGAAGAAGAATTAAAGAAGATGAAAGATATTCCTTATTTAGAAAGAGATGAACAAAAATATGTTGAACTTATGAATGAAAGAATGGAATTAGACCGACAAATTCATAATGAATGAGCATGGATAGATAATAAAAAAGAAACAGCAAAATATCAGCACAGAATAGACAACCTTTTAAGCACCAAAAGAGATGATTTGGATAAAGCATTGTCGATATTAACTGAAAAAGAAAAAGAAAGTATGATTAGGTGGGCTATGGGTGAAGCAGAGGGAATGGAAAACTACAATAGCCATGACCTATTTAGAGCGGTTTATGATTACTACCATAAATTAAAAAAAGAAACATTGGATTAAAAGCGGTTAGTCAACTTTCAAGTGAAGAAATAGAACATCACCCACCCGAGCGTGCGTGATAGTTGACAAAAATTAAAAGGAAAATTTAGAAATGGAAGCCACTCCTCATTGAATTACCGGAAAAGTCATCGAAATCAAGAAAAAGCAAGTTTTGCCAAAAGAAAATCTTTGGACTCCGCCTTGCATAGTTGAGAGAATACCAGCAGGAACAGTCTATTATGAGATTGCAGTAAACGGAAGAGAATTTGTTCCTAATTATGGCGAAAGACAAGAGATTAATAAAGAAAGAACTGAAAAGAAGTTAGTTTTTTTTGAACTTTCAAAAGATAGTAAAAAGGGCGGAGAATTAAAAATAGGTAAAACTTATGAATTTTGATGTTGCTCTAGTTTCAAGGGAAGAAATTGAATTGAAGGGTGAAAAGAGATTAATTAAAAATTAGTTAATACAACTTTAAAAGCCGAACTGCCATATTTTAGAAAAAAACAATGGTCAGTATCGACGGAAAAGTAAAACAATTAACAGATAATGTCTTAACTTTAAAGGACATTAGAACCCGGCCGGAATTATGATTTAAGCCGACTGATATAAGTCCGGCAACCGGAGCAAGCACTTATATCGATTTGCGGATTTATCACGAATGACCCTACTGGACCAAAGAGTATAATTTTTTACCATTACCAAGTAAATGGGGAGAAATAAAGAAAAAGGTGGTAAAAGAGTTGATGGAGGCAAAACGACCTACCACTAAATCTGACGGCTCGCTTTACAAAGAAATCAAAAGGGGAACTGAAAAACAAAAAACCGACAAATATCCGCAAATAAATTACTTTTTAGTTAAAGTAGAAAACACTACCATTACTTTAATTTTTCAAAATTTAAAAGGATATGATTTAGATCGCCCTAATATCTGCTTGTTTTGAGGAGAAAATGACGGAGAAAAAAAAATACCTAATCTTTACTGAATTACGAGGACAGATATAATTGACGCTCGCAAGGTCTATGTCCAGGTAAGGGCTGAATTAGATCTGATTTGGAGGGATTATGGGCATTTTTGTGAAAGTTGGGGAACAGCAATAATTAAAAGGAGTACTTTAGGACTTAGCCATAACGAACACTTAGATGATATCGGAAACGAAGAGGATGAATGACAACACCCAAATCCTAAAGGATTAATGGCTTGCTCTGCCTGCTTATTATGTTATGATTTTTGTTCTTGGAGTGGCTTAGATGATAGTCGCTCCCGACCAGCCGGATTTAAGAAAGCCGAAAAGGCTACTTGACAACCAAAATTTAAGTTGGCTTTTATCCATCCCGAAGGAAGAAAAATTTTTGCTAGTGGGGGCGAAAGAATTAGAGATATTACCGAAATTGAAGATCCAGAAACTGGAGAAAAAATAGCGGAAGTGCCTACTAACTTCAACCTTCAACCTTGACAAACTTCTACTAGAGTAGAAAATTTAGTGGATAAGTTTTTTAAGCCAGGCGATGGCGATAAACCATTTTTGCTCTATTTAATTGATAAGGATCATGAGGGAAAATATGAGTGGGGAGATTTAGGAGCGGTTTCATCGAAAAAATTATGGATAAAATCTAAAGAACTTCATTTCAGCACCTTGCCTGATATATTTTTAAAGCAACCACATTTACTAAAGCATGGAAGTGCTTGAATAAACTTTAGACGTAAAAGAGAAACTCTCAACCTTCGTCATGCTAAAATAAGAAAAATAGATGGGCAATTAAAGATGATCTATCGAGTATATCGTAAAAGCAGCATTGAGGGAATAACTTATATTTTTGAAAGCGGAGAGATATTATTTGTGTGAAGTATAAAAACAACTGGAACCATCCAAAATACTCAAAATTTAATAGAGTCTTTGATAGATGGATTATTTGCTTTTTTGACTCCCGAGCCAGAAGAACGAAAGAAATTAGAAGAGGAAGAAGCGGGGGAAGGATGAAGTTTTGGAATAGGAAAGATTTTTAGTCTGATTAAAGCCGGCGTAAAAGGATGAATTAACAGAAATGTAGGAACTGACTTAAACAATATTTTAACTGGCGAGAAATATAAAGACACAATAGGTCTGGGAGATAACAAAGATATTCCCCATGCTAATGAACCGAAGCCCGACCAAGCCAAACAAACCGATTTAAAAGCCAAAAGTACTAATAAGGACAAAGTGAAAGAAGTAGAACCAAGTCAGTATTATATAACTACCACGACCATTAATAATGATTTTTGAGGTTTTGCCAATGACTTAACCTACCCAATATTTGAAATTAAATACGCATGAAGTAACGTTTTATATAATAATTTAGTTAACTGTAATAATAAATTTGCTATCCACAACATCTATAATCAATTTAGTGCCTTTAAACAATGCATAAAACCGGGTTATTTTCAAGGAAAAGTTACTATTCGGTATGATACAACGGGTTTTTTTGGCGGAATACTAAATAGGGGAACCCAATTTGTTGAAAGTTTTACCGAAAAAGAAGAAATGTTTAAACCTTGAGCTTACAAAGGAGAGGTTATGGAAGGATTTAGCATGCCTTTAACTAGTCCGACCGGAAATAGACAAGGAATTGAAAAAGTTACTCCGGGAGAAGATATAGATAAAAAAGGACCAAAAAATGAGGGCGGAGATAATGTGTCAATTGATACTACTGCTTTATACATTAATAAGCAATCTTATTGCCGAGGACCCAACGGAGACATTATTGATACCCTAATGCAAGCATTACTTGCTTCTCACCGCAAAAGACCCGATAGCGGCAGTTACTGATACTTTTACGAGAACCGTAATGACTCAGTAGAAGTCCGGGTGACCGAAGGGAAGTACGACTACCGAATGGTAGGATATAATTTGCATGCTTTAGATGAAGCCCGCGGAGTGGAAGCCAACTATTTTACCGTAGCCATTAGAGGGACGACAAAAACCGGACATGTTAGCATACAGGCGGGATTAAGGAAAAAAAGCGATCCAAGTATTGAACTTATTGGCGAAAAGGATGATAAGGAAAAAGAAAAAGACTTTATAATTCAGGACTATAAAGATAATACTTTACCCGATTTAGGAACTGAAATAGACACCGAATTAGACTTAGATTTGGATGATGATCGGGATGACCAAGATTTAGAAGAAATAGATGTGGATCCCGATGCAGATGAGAAAGAGCGGGAAGATGATACTGACTTTGATGCTGACCGAGATAAAGACCGAGACAGAGATAAGGAAGACGATGTGGACGATGACCTTGATGTAGACAAAGATGATGACTGGGATGATGATTGAGACAAAGATATCGACTTTGATAAAGATAATGAGAAAGATGAGGACGACGACAAGGATGACAAAGATGAGGGAGATTGAGGTGACGGAGATGGAGATAAAGATCGGGATAAGGATCAAGGAGGATAGGAAATGAAAAAACCAGGTCAAAACCAAGAATTAATTAATGACAAAATCGAGGAGGAAGAAATAAAACTTCCTGAAGAAGAATTACCTGATATTGACATTATTGACATTGATGAGGAGCCTGAAATGCCTTTATGAAAGTGTGGTAATTGCGGGGAAGAACATAGAGACGGAGCCGACCACAAGTGCGACGAATTGCCTGACCCTTATGGTTGCGAAACTATTTATTGTGAACCTACTTGCCCGAAATGTGATAAAGATATAGACGAGTGCAACGGAGAATGCGACGAACCTGCAGATTATGAGGAACCTGAACCCGAGGAAACCGAAGACTTTGAACCATCAACCGAGGAGGACTGCAATTACGAAAGAGAGGGATAAAAATAGTTATATAAAAAACAAACCGGTAAGTGCAAGTAAAAAGGAAGATGTCAAATAGTTTGGAAATAGCAATAAAAAAACATAACGAAATAATATTAAAGGATAAATTTCGGAGGATGTTGGATGATATTCGTTGGCAAAATCATTTAGCAAAGTGGGAAAGAACTCTAGAACGTCTTGAAAAATTAGAAAAAAAGTATGGCAGTAAATAAATATTGAGGAGATATACTAAAAGCAAAGGATGAAATACTCCTCTTTCACAGGAAAATAACCAATCAGAGGGACAATCTTAATGACTTAAAAGGCGAAGATGATGCTTTGCATATTGATCTAACTTTTTATATCAGCCAAGCCAGAAATGAAGGATTAGAACCATCAGAAGAAGAGGAACTAAACGATATTTTGTCCGAAGTTGAAAGTTTTCACCAATAAAGTTAAAAATAAATTATGAAAAAAACTCAAAAGAATAACTAAAAGAGAAGAAATAGTGATTGACGAACAAGGAAATGAGTACTTAACAAGACTTTATATAAGTTCACGAACTACTAGCGATTGTGACTTTTATGAAAACAATTTTAAAAGAATATGTAGGTATTCATCAGAAGGCTACGAAGAAATGTTAAAGTTTTTTAAAGAAACGGACAAAGAACTGCGGGAAGAAGAAAAAAGGTTAAATCTTAATTCTCAAAAGTAAGGTACAAAAAGGTTTGCAAAATATAAAACAAAAAATGACAGATTACAGCAATTTAATAATTTTTCAATACGATGGAACTCCTATTTACCGGACGCCAAAAGAGCAGGTTGGTAATTTAGAAAATATTAAAGTACTTTCCAACAAGGAAAATAAGTTCATTAAGGTAGCAGGAGAAGGTTTTGATTTCACTTTTGAATGAGATAAAACTAAAGATAAAATAGAAATTTTTCACTTAAGCAATTACCAGTTAGAAAAAGTTGGAGAATTAGATCTTCCTAATATTTGAGAAGAAATCAGAAAGTTAATTAATAATACGGATATCACCCACCCGAGCGTGCGTGATATGAAAAAAAATATTAATGAGTTTTCAACCCTGCCCTAAATGCTATCTAAGGCCAGAAGGAAAAGTTGACTGGTTACCAGCTTCCGGAGTTAGACATTGTATTGACTGTAATAATTGCTTAACTAATGGCCGTGCTGCCCCAGTCGCTAAAAAAGTCTGACATTGCGGAACTGAACAAGGCTGTCGCCAAAACCCTTATTCCGAAGAGAATTATCAAAGAATAATTAAAAAAATAGTATAGTGATTGATCTAAAAAGATTTAAAAAAGACGAGGATTTTGAGGAGTTAGTTAGGCTCTATGCTTATCGTGGCGTACCAAGGGAACAATTGGAGAAAACAAGAAAATTATTAACTGAAAAAAGTAAAATAGAGCGGAAACTTAACGAATTAAGACAACTAAAAAACAAAAAAGTAAAAGGAGGAGATAAATTTTTCTATCAAATGCCTCAGGCTTTGGAAAAAGCTAAAGAAATTGAAACGGATGAGAAAAAACTAAAGATAATTAAAGAAATAGAAGAACTTTACTGGTGAATTAGAAAAGAGATAGAAAGGTGGAAAACTGAGGGGTTTGAACCAACGGAGGAAGAAATTAGTAGAGCCGAACAAATTGTATCAAATGATAAGCAGCAGAAAAGTTAAGGATTGAAACGGCAGATGCCATTCTTGCGGGGGATAGATTATACCAACTGAGCAGAAGGCTTTATTGATGAGAAAAATAAGAAAAAATGAGGGTGCTGTCCTCCTGACGAGAGATAAGGAAAAGGATGAAGTGATTTAGTTTTTTGCTCTAAAATTACTTATGGGAGTGCGAGTTTTGACTTATTCAGAAGATAATTATAGCAATATGCTTTCTTGAAAGCAACAAAAAAATCAAGAAGATACATTCGAAGTTCCTGTGGAATTGCTATCTAGCAACCCAGGATACAACTACGCAATCGCCTAATCATTCAAACTTTTGAAGTTTGGCGGCCTATTGGAGGCTTTTGCTAGTCTTATTACTTACTCCATTTAGGTAATTCGTAATAAAATTGGAAAATGGTCAGATAGTGTTTGTTTATTTCTTGTTTGGCTGTTTATAGGTAATGAAGAGAAAAATAAACTAGTGATTAGTAGGGGTCATTAGGAAACTGCTCCCCCAATAACGATATCTGGTCAATTGATATTTACTAGTCATGAAATTTTAATTGACTAAATTGTAGAAGTAATTATCAACTTTATAAGGACAGGGGGTTCAATCCCCTCACTTCCACCATAATTATAAAATGTCTCGTTAACTCAGCCTGGTTAGAGTGTCTCCCTTTTAAGGAGGAAGTCGGAAGTTCAAATCTTTCACGAGACACCATAAAGAAAATAGTTGAGTAGTTCAGCGGTTAGAACACTCCCCTGATAAGGGAGAGGCCGATAGTTCAATTCTATCCTCAACTACCATTAGTTTTACTTTTGAACTGGCTCGCTTTGGATTTCTTTTTTTCTTCGGTGAGCCAATTGAACTGTAAAAAAAAGTTAATAAAAAACCGACTGCCAACAATTAAAAAATGGCTCAGTCGAAAGAAGAATTAAAGCAAAAATACGAAGAAATCTTACAGGAAATTAAGAATAAAGAAGAAAAGGTAGAAACGTTGTGAAATTTGATTGATTATGAGAGAGAAAAAAAGGCAGAATGAGAGGCTAATCCCGACAATGAGGGTCAATCATTTGACTCCCGGGAATTAAATGTCTGAGAAGACCGCCAAAAACAATTGTGGAGTGAAGTGCAAAGACTAGAAGGGGAGGCTTATTTTATCAAGACATATCAATTAAAAATAGAGGAGGAAGAAAAGTGTCCTGAATGTGGTCGGAAAGTAGCAGTAGATGAAGATACTGGAGTCTGTAAACGTTGTGCTAAACAAATTGAGGAGGGTTTAACTTTGGGAGAAGAAGAGGAGGAGGAAGAAAGTAATGGCGACGAGGATGATGAAGAGGATGAAATAGAAGAACAAGAATGTCTAGAATGCGGCAACATTTTAGAAACCCAAGAAGAAACGGAAAGTGGAATTTGTGAAGAATGTGCCGAAAAAACCGAGGATGAAACTAAAAAAAAAGAATGCTCGGATTGTGGAGAGGAATTAGAAAGCGAGAAAGAGGTGGAGATGGGTGTCTGCTATGATTGCACTGCAAAACTTATAGAAACCGAGCCAGAATGCAGTGAATGTGGTGAAACATTAATAACGGATGAGGAAATAAAAAGAGGAATTTGCGATGATTGTAATAAAAAATATGGACAATAAATGACACAGGGAAAAATAACTTTTAAAGTTGGCCAAAGTGAACTAACAAGGGAAGAAGAATTGGATTTTAATCTCCTTGAATTCGAATATGACGACGAGGAAGAAAGAAAAGAAAATAGAGAAAAAATTAAAGTTACTTTCGCGGAACCACTTGTAAAAGAAAAAACCGAATATACCGGAATATTTTTACCATTGGATTTAGCCGGAGATGTTAAAAAAATAAACACTGAACCAACCACTAGCAAATGATTGACGGATGATAATGTAGCCTTTATTTTGAGGAATATGCATTATGTCACCGATAGTGCTGTGGAAGAAGATGAAGAAAAAAACATTTATTTAGGCAATATTTTCTGTTTACGAACAGACTTGGCCAATATTTACCACGCTAATGAACTGGCTAAACGCCTTAAAGAAAATAAGGCGGATGCAAAGGATAAAGAGCAGTTAGAGAAATTCAAGAACGAAGTAGACAAGTGAACTGGTAAATATATTATCTTCCCCATCGCCTTAGGAGTTCACCCTGGTAATCACTGGGGAATGTTTATTTTAGAAAAAAACAAGGCTTATTGAACTTCTTCTCTTAATGATCTTGCCAGCGAAGCCAAACAAGTAAAGCCTCTTATCGCTTATTTAACCAATGAACAAGTGGCTGACCAAATTGACACTACCACTTTAAAAGGAGAGAAGCAAAATAATGGTCATGATTGCGGCGTTTATTTATGTTTGTATATTAAAGAACTGATGGAATTTGAGACGCGGCAAGATAATAGTACACAAACCCTAGCCTTAACAAGAAAATATGGAGCGGAAATAATAGAGGAATTTCGTAATTTTTGAAAAGAAAAAATAGAAGCGGAAGTAGGGCTGGGAGCATGATGCAAGGCGGATGCTAACAGTTCGCCCAGTGCTAGTCAATATCCCAAATTAATTGAAGACGCCTTAAAACAAGGAAATGAAGTGGAGTTTGCAGGAGAGTATGAAAAAGGTCCGACCAATATATTTGAAAACGAAAACTGATTGCAGGCCATCAATAGTCCCTATACTTTAAAATTACTACCTCTGGTTAAAAAACTGCTCGAACCCAATCCCAGCACAACTACTGGGCTAGGAACAGATGGCCATATCTGTCCCTATTTAGAATTACCAAAAGTAGAAGAGAAGTTCCGCCAGCAATTTCAAGGAGAGATAAAGGATTTAAAAAATAGTGAGAGTCAACTAGTAAAGCAGAGAAACGAACTAACTGCGAACCTAAATGAAACCAAAGAAGAAATTAGAGTCGTTTGCCAATATTGAGGAACCAATAATTTATCTGAATTAAACCAAAAATTATCTGATGAAACATACGCCAAAAATGATTATTTAAACCAACTAAATCAAAGCCAAAACGAGATAAAAAGACTAGAAGAAGAATTAGCAAATGAAAGAAATTTGAAAGAGAATTGGCATCGTGAATGTGGAAAGATTATGGAAATGCTGGGAAATAGCAATCATCCAATTAATAATTTAAGTCATTTGGCCAGTTTGCTTCAAGGAAAGAACCTGTATCAGATAATTGAGGCCAACCGCAATTTAAGAGATGCTATTAATTCATTAATAAGGCAACACCAAGTAAATAGTTTGGAAGAATTAAGTCAAAAAATAATCAGAACTGAACAAGAATTGGCTAATGAATTGAGTTGATGAGATGATTGAATAGCCGAACCAGATAGTTTAAATATTCAATTAAGACGCAGTCTCGGAGTAGAAGCCGACTACAGAGTTACAATGTGAAAAGCGGATAATAAAACTCACCCTTGACACTTATATGAAGAACCAGAAAGCAAAAAAGGCCGAATAAACATAAAAGCCATTTATGAATATTACATTACAAAAAAAGGAAGCAAATTAGACACCGATGACAAAAGTATTAAAGTTTTAGAAGATAAAATTTTAACTTTAATTGGACAAGATTTTGATAGTGAACAAATAATAGGATTAAGAGATTTGTTTGTTTATAATGGATTGCCTAACACTTATAATTTTATTGAGGAAGTAACTAGTTTAACCAATAATCACAAGATTAAAAGTTTAGAAAATGAAGCCAAAGCCCTGAAATTAGATTTAGAGCAAAATATTCCGGAAGAATTAGAAGAAAAAGTAAATAAAATTAGTCCACTTTTGTTGACTAGTGCTTTACCTGAAACCCAACAATTTATTGAAAATGGGTTTACTGAATGAGTTAAATTACTGAAGAAGGTAGATGAGAACTACCAAAAGGACACCCCCGTTCCAGAAACTTTGAAAAGTATATTAGAAAAAAATAAAAAACTGGAAGACGCTTTAAACGAAGTTGGAATAGATCCTAATGACGCTGATGTGGGAAAGAAAATCGCAATGTTGAAGGGTCTAGAAGAAAGAGTGATAGAACTCTATGGCAAGGATTATAAAGAAATATTAAAAGTGCAAGAGTAACAAAATCGATCGGGTGGAAGAGAGAAAAATAACCGAGAAATTTTAGTTTTTAGAGTCTCTCTCCTTTTGTTTGTAAAATTTCTAAAATAATTTTTCGGCATTCCTCAATTTTTAATAATTCTTCGCAAAAAAATCTTATATTTTCTTTTGTATTCTTTTCGGCTCTCTCTTTAACAATTACTGAATAATCTATACCAATTAATTCGCAAAACTCTTGACCTGTAAAAGCCTCTTCAGGCTTGATTTTGTTCTTAAATCCTTTAATAATTTTTTTCTTATCAGTTTGGTTAAAACAACAAACTAAGATTAGCGTCTTGTAAGGAACATTTTCGGAAATATGATTTTTAAATTGTCGCAAGGATTCTGCTTCCCCTGATGACTTTTTGGTGTCAAAATTATCTCCATCTTTTAACTCTGTTATGTAAAGAGTTTTAGTTTCTTTTTTGAGAATTAAATAATCCGGCTCGTACTTAAACCTAAATTTAGGAGAATTTTTGACTACTTTTTTAGGAATTAGATAAGTTTTCTTGTCAAATTTCTCGCCATTAGTGAGTAAACTTTCCATTTCTTCTACTGTTTGAACCAAAAATAAATCACTTTTTTCTATGATAAGTCCCTCCAATTCAATACCGGAAGAGATAGAAGCCGACTGAACCCTACTTATTAACGCTCCCAGTTGCCCGTTGTCAAATACTCTGGCATAACTTCCATCTGTTCTACCCGGCTTAGTATTTTCTATTTTTCTCATGATAGATTTTCACCTTCCCCTTCAATATCGCAGCCTAAAAAATTCCTGTTGGATAATAAGCAAGCATCTAGCACTGAATAACCACCTGCGGCCGGATCAACAATTACTTCTCCTGGATTAGAAACTGACTCAATTAAGATTTTTTGAAGTTGGAGTGGTTTTTGGTGCGGGTGTTTTTTAGTTTTGTTATCCATTTTTTCCGTTCAGACATCCGGAATGTTTTTGATTTTTCAAATACCTTTGCTTTTAATAGGAGTTTTTTGGAGAATTAGTAAATATTCACTCGACCGACGAGTGCGATAACCCATGCCAATTCGGCTTTTATTTCAAACGACCATATCAACAATGGCCAAGTCAGTTTTTTTTAGCCATAAGGATATCCCTTCACACAAGTGAAATTTATCTACTCATAAAAAAAGATGCCCGCTTTTGTTTAAAACTCGGTCAATTTCTCGCACAAAAGAGATGATAGTTTTTTCGCTCATTTGCGGCAATTTGCTTCTTTCTATTTGTCTTTCTCCTTCATTGCCATAATTCATTTTTTCTAATACCCCCCGATATTGAGGATCAAAAAAAACAACATTGACTGAAAAATCCTCTAATGATTGCAGCAAAGTTAGCCCATCCATTTTTAATTTGGTATTGAGAGGAAGAGAATTATCTTTAAATATCGCCGATAAAAGCAAATCGCTAGGACTTACTGCTAACGAGGAATTTTTGACAGGAGTTAAAAGTTCAGTCATATAGATCTATATATAAGAGATTTAATAACTAAATATTATACTCGATACTTGGATGTATTGTATACATAAATAAAAGCCAGTCGCAAACAAGAAGCAATAAGTTTTGAGTAGCGTGAACTACCCCCACCTAACTTTTAACGAGTTTGAGGTGGGAGCTTCCTCGCTGAGGCTCTAGCAAAGAGGCTGATAGCCAGGTTCTTGCCTAACGGAGACGGTTCCCGCTCCGAATGTTTCTTGTTGAGCTTGAAAAAGAATGTTTTTTGCAGCATTTATATCTCTATCCTTTTTATATTTACAAGCAGAGCAAAAGAATATCCTATCTTTCAATTTCAAACTTTCGTTCGCTGCCTCACATCAAAAACATTGTTTGCTGGTATTTTTCGGATTAATTTTTACTACTTTCTTGCCCATTTCTACCATGGTATAAGAAAGATGATTATGAAACTTAATTCATCCGGCGTCGTTGATACTTTTAGATAACCCTTTGTATTTATCTCGACGCTCAATCATTTTTTTTGGGTTTAACTTCTCAATAGCAATGAAATCATAATTATCCCTTAATTCTTTCACTTTCTTAAAAACAAAATCGTCTCTTTTGTTAACAATTTTCTCGTGAAATTTGCTTATTTTCAGTTTGGCTCTTAAATATCTTTGGCTTGGTTTAGTCTTGTCTCCTTTAACTCTTTTATGTTGCTTGTGGTCGGCTATTCTTTGTAATTTAACTAACTGTTTTTCTGCCTTTCGATAGAATTGAGGAATAGGTTCTTTGTATCCTTCATTAGTGGTGTAAAAGTTTTCTAAACCCATATCTAAACTTAAATGTTTACCTGTTCTTAATTGTTCCAAAGTCAAAGGTTCTTTTGTTTTTACTTCACAAACGAAGCAAGCATATCACTTACCATTCTTTCTAAAAATAGAACAAGTTTCAATTTCTTTTGGCAATGGTCTTTTCTTTTGAGTATGTAAACGAATATTGATTTTTAGATTGGGATAACCTCTACCTCGGGAGAGAACCAGTTGACCCTTTTCAATTTTAAAACCATGTTGGGGATAAGTAAAAGAATTATAACGATGGAGGGGTTTGGGTTGAGGCAAACCTGCTTTGGGATTTTCTTTTTTTTTCTTTTGGAAATTTAATCAAATAGCAGGAACTCGTTGTTTAGGAATATTCTGTAAGACTTGGGAAAAGATTTGTTTTAGTTTGGGATTGTCTTGCTTAATCTTGATTAGAGAATTGATTTGCTGGAACTTGCTAGGTTGTTTTTGTTTTCCTTTGTAAGCAACAATCTTTTCTTTAAGGAGTGTTTTGTTGAGAGAACAACATTCAGAAAGAATTCAGTTAAAGATTTGTTCTTCCTCTTTGGTAGGATATAGTCTGTATTTGTAAGTTGCTTTAACTTCCATAGTCGCTTGGTTCGAGTTTAATATTCAATAAGTCAGACAATACCAAGCGACTAAACTCTAATTGCCTGACTAATTCAATACTAAAATCTTATTAATCTATTTTACAGCAATTCATCCCCCACCTAGAAGAGTGTGGGGTTATTCTTGCTAAAATTAGATAAAAGCAACCAAAGAGGGAGTTTGCGATAAATGCGGGAGAGAAGTAAGTCCTGAACCCAAACCGGATAGTTATCGCGATAATGGTTATGATGTTCTGCACAAAGATACCGGACAAGAAGAAAAACTTTGCCGCCACTGTATGCCGAACGAATATTGGTATTTATAAAACTCCTTATGGAAAAATTATCTAACAATCACCCATCAATCATTGAACTGAAAAAAGAATTAGAATCAAACAAGAGACACAACATGATCATGAATACCTCAATGAAAATTTTTTGAAACAACTTCTTCAAAAGACTTGATCAAAAACAACAAGCAAGGAGAGAAATGATTGAAAAACTAATTAAGAAATTAGAGGAATATGGTAAGTTATAGAGATCAAATTGTTAATCTAAGAGAGGAGATTTATACTCTCCAAAGGAAAATCAGAAGTCAAGCAGGAGAATGCAGTTCTCTTTTTGACGAAGAAGAAATGTTATACCTCGAAATAACTTATCTTGTCGACCAAGCCATAAGTGAGGGTTTGGAATCTTCTGAAATTGAAGAAATAAAGGGAATTTTAGCAGAAGTCAAAGCATCCCGCCAGACTATTCGTCAAGACGTAGTAGGGATTTTCGCTAATTCATAATTTTTATCCCTATGTCATTAAATACTATTCAAGCCTTACAAAAACTCAACCAATTAAAAGATAAGCAAGCAAAAACTGCTAATGATCTACTAATCAGCGAACAAAACTACAAGCAATTAAATACCGATTACCAAGAATTAAGGAGATTACAACAGGAAATTTTAGCCAAAGTTAAGCATTTGCAAGAAGATTTAAAAAAAACTACAATCCATAAAGAACATGCCGAAAAAGAATTGGCAGAAGTGCGAAGTAAACTAGATTGTACCAATGCCATACTTAATAAACCCAAGCCGGTCATGGTAGAGGTAGGAACTCAAACCGACCTAACAGCCAAACAAATCACCCAAATGGAGCTTGATATCACTAAATATCAGCAAAACATCCAAAAAGAAAAAAATAAAGTCAATGGTTTATATACCAAACTATCCAATTTAAGACAAGAGATAAAAGATTTACAAGACCAAACCAAACTTAATCCCGCCGAACAAGAATTATCAAAATATGTGAAACAACAAACCTGAAAAAATGTGAATTTCCAAACTTTAAAAACAAATTTAACAAATTTAGAAAGGGATTTTTCACATAAACTACGCCCCCATTACCAAGAAATCAGAACTAAATTATTAGAATTAGTTAATTCCCTAATTGAGGGAAAAGAAAATAAGGAGCAATTAGAAAAGAGGAATAAAGAGTTGGAAGAGAAATTGAAAGAAGGGGATTTGAATGATAAGGAAAAAGAATTAATAGGTCATCTCAAAGAAGAAAAAGATTGGAGTTATTTTACAAAGAGGGAATGACAGGAGGGCTTGGAAATGTTTCAAGATGATAGTCAATGAACCACACTCCGTCCCAAGTATGTAGAAATTCGTAAGAAATTTATTCAAATATGCCAATCAGAAATAGAAAAAAAGGAGCAAGAGCAAACTATCACAGATTTAACCAAAAAAAAGAATGAATTACAAACCCAATTAGACCTAGCCACAAAAACCAAGGAGGAATTGGCTGAGGAATTAGCATTAGAAAAAGGGTGGTGGGATAAGTGGTTAAATGATAGCGATAAAAAACGTTGGGGGGATGATTCAGCAAATCGTCCTAACAACGAAGAAATGAATTTTGGTTTCCTTGCAAAAAAACCAGTCCCTTTCGAACCTTCTTCTGACTTCCCTGGATTCGAAAAAATTGGAGTTAGTTTTTCAAAAAGAGATACTTTAATTGGTATAAGAGATAAATCTTCTTCTTCTTCTTATTATTATTACAAAAAAGCCTTCAAAGACCTAATTTATGAATATTATAAAGATCCAATTGCATTCGAACAAAAACAAGCAGAGAGAGAGAGAGAGAGAGAGAGCGGAAACAATCCGGAGAGCCGAAGAAGAAAAGAGAAATAAATGACGGCG